ACCATATCAGACAATCCAGAGGATTATATCTGTGATACCTGCCGAAGTGACGATGGGAAATTCGACTTTCTGATGGGACTGGAGCGTCTGAAGCAGGTAGGGATATTATTCTTTATATATCAAAAGTACCAGACTAGGGTATGGAGTCAACGTTCAGAAATAGTAGATAAAATTTAGTACAATTTTAAATATATGGAAATGCTTAAGATATTCTTCCCACAGGTACTTGTGGACAGGACCCCCCAATATAAACCCCTGGTCAAAATATTTTTTTTTTCTTTTTTGTCATGAATTATGTTTCTAGTACTTATTTACAACGTATTCCATATGAAAAATCCAAAAAATAACATAGATTTAACGATTTACTTAAAAAGTCATACCCTGGTATTATAAAATAGAGAAGGTAGGTCACTTCGGTTGTTTACATCGGACCCCTCTGGAATATCGGGCTTAAAGTTTCATACACCTACTACATGTCACCAAAATGTGGCATGATATCTTGTTTCGGTAGATATTTTTGTCTTTAATCGTGCCATTTAATTGCCCAGACATTCCCCAATTATCCGAGTATTCAGCGTCAAACGTGAAAATTTGGAAATGTCAAAGCAGAAATTACGGAAGTGATCCAAAAACGACACCTAGCGGGTAACTTTCGAGTTCCGAGTGTCATAGAATAAAGGGAAAAGTCAGAGGACTACGAAAAAGTTCGGGAAAATTTTGATAGAAGAAGTCGAAATTGATTCATTAGAATTTAAATTTTGCTGCAGATTTTCGAGATGAATTAAGGTACAATCATCAATATTATTTGAAGAGGATTTATCACTGATACAATATAGTGTTTTAAAAATCGCATAGAGACATTAAATGACATATAACCCCCTCCCCCTTTCTACGTGGATATGTTTAGGCAAACTGAACTTTTATTTTCTAGTGACTGTGTCTGCGTAAAGGTGGATTTCTGTTAATGCGTTAGTTTAAAAAATAAATACAACCAGAAATGTGCTTATTCAAAACATTCCATTCGCTGTGAGTGTGAGTTCTGAACTCGCTAATTATTTAATATATGGGAAGGAGTGGTGCGCGTCATTACAGGTTAGAATTTTTGTTTCGATTAAACTACAAATGTAGAGGAAGGCGTTTTGAGAGAAAAAAATGCAAGTTTTTATGAATAGCCGTACAAATACATATCCCATCCAATATTCAGTCGTCAAAATCCAGTACTACAACTTGACAATATTATTAAACGATGGCTGTTAGGTAAGACGTACCCAAAGAATTTTTTAAAAGTCTCTAAATTTATACATAGACAGGCTCGTAGGAAGCAATTTCAGACTGGGGGATGGGTAACAGCCAAACATTTTAAGTTAAGGCATTATGCTTAGTATGCTATCAACTAAAAATTCCTCAAAGCAAAAAAAAAAATGTCACTGGTTTTTATTGAGGGGGCACGAGCTTATAATACCTATGTTTTCTACAGTATATTATATAATATACTGATATTATTCTTACGGCAATGTTAGATAAATGAAAAGAAGTTAAGCTTCTTTAACAAAGCAGCTAGATATACACAGTCAAGACCAGAAACAAACTCCGAGGCTGTAGTTAGGACAATAAACGAGAGAATGTCATGATGAAAAGTTCCGATTTTCATTTATTTTTAAGAAACGACTCATATATGCTTAAATTCTTTGGCAAATGAGAAATATTGTATAAGATTATTAAATTAATGATATCGGAATTATTGTACAGTGGGGGTGGGGGTTACATATCTTTTAATGTCTATATGCTATTTTTAATACGCTATATGGTATCAGTGATAAATCCTCTAAAAAGAATACTGGTATTAATGATGATTGTACCTTAATTCATATCGAAAATCTGCAGCAAAATTTAAATTCTAATGAATCGATTTCGACTTCTTTCTATCAAAATTTTCCCGAACTTTTTCGTAGTCCTCTGACTTTTCCCTTTATTCTATGACACTCGGAACTCGAAAGTTACCCGCTAGGTGTCGTTTTTGGATCACTTCCGTAATTTCTGCTTTGACATTTCCAAATTTTCACGTTTGACGCTGAATACTCGGATAATTGGGGAATGTCTGGGCAATTAAATGGCACGATTAAAGACAAAAATATCTACCGAAACAAGATATCATGCCACATTTTGGTGACATGTAGTAGGTGTATGAAACTTTAAGCCCGATATTCCAGAGGGGTCCGATGTAAACAACCGAAGTGACCTACCTTCTCTATTTTATAATACCAGGGTATGACTTTTTAAGTAAATCGTTAAATCTATGTTATTTTTTGGATTTTTCATATGGAATACGTTGTAAATAAGTACTAGAAACATAATTCATGACAAAAAAGAAAAAAAAAAAATTTTGACCAGGGGTGTATATGGGGGGGGGGTCCTGTCCACAAGTACCTGTGTCAAGAATTTGAAATCCTCTTACAGAAGTAATAGATAACAAATGGAGAAATTATGAAGATATTTAAATATTTTTTTTTCTTAATTAAACATGACTTTTTTTTAAATTAATGATTATGAAAACACAATTTGGATAGGTACCGTAGTATTTAATATTACCTGGTCTGGTACTCTCTTTTATTATTATGCATAGCTTAAATATTTTGTTATAGTATGTAAGGTAATAAAGCGTAAAAAGGGTTTTGATAAGTATAAATTAATGTTGATTTCCACATTAAGCTTCATATGATGATGATGATAATCATGCATATCTTTTTACGCTTTATTATTTTTTTGTTGTTGATTTAAGATCTGTAGACTGTAGAGTTAGAACTTGTCGTGTGTAAGAAATTGGGCATATATATTCTTTACGTATTTTTCTGTGAGGATGTTTCATAATACTAAAAATGATTTATGTGGTAAAATATGAAAACACTATTCATTTGAATGTTATTTATTCTGGTTAAATAAAAAATATATACATGTTATATACTTATATATCAATCTCAAGTATTTGTACAATGAGTCAGTCAAAGTAGTAATAAGGCCACAATACGATAAATTCAATGTCTACACAAGATGCGAACTAAACGACACTGAAACTTTTTCATCCCAGACACTGTGCCTTCTGTTGTTGTGCTAAGATGAACTCGGTCTTTGTCGTAGTGAAATGGGTATCGGATGTCACTAAAAGTCACAAAGTATTGACCGTAGGTTTTCCTGAGATGTCTGTTAAGGAGTTTTCTTTTCTTGTCAAATACACTTTTCGTTAATCCAGATGATCGAAAGTTTCCTCTTGTCATAATTTCACACACATATACATGTTCAGCTACACTCTTTGCATCACGTACGATACAAGCAATATTGTCATAAATTTTTTTCGGTGAACAATCTTTACTTATGTCATTACCTCCCAAACATACAAAAACTGTTTTGGGCTTAAAACACAACATTTCACGTAGTAAGCCTGTATGAGGATTATCCGCATATATATATATAGGTAGGTATTGTATATATAGGTAGCTCTTAGTTCAATATATACCCATGTAGTTATTAAATAGTAGCTTTATCGAATTAGTGCAAGTTGAAAAAAAAATATTTGTTGTGCCTTTTTGTTTTTAGCTTTTATAAAACGCCTTTCACCAAATTAAATGTACCATTTTTAAGCGGATATGCATTTTAATAGATTTGCTGTTGTTTGTATATGTATTTTGTTCTTTTTAGTTTCCATATAGTTCTTCTTTGTGTATTTTTAAAAATTATTATCTATTTATTTAATTTCAGTTTAATAATCGAATTTAATTTTTTTTTTCCACATTCATCAAAGAACATAAACTAAAAATTACATTATTTTTTCTCTATTCTTCCTAATTTTCGAAAAAACCTTTGGCTTTTCTTTACAATTTAATTGATTTTTTATTTTTTGTTTTTCAAATTCAAAATTATGGCTCTTCTTTGGGATGGCCTCCACGTGGCAAGAGCTGGGCAACGTTATCTATAGACTTTGATAACGGCTAACGATCCCTATATTTGATTATCTAAATATTATTAAACATTTATTCATTTTACTTTGATCAAACTTTAATAAAACAGTTATTTATCGATATAAATTTTAATAATTAACTTTAAGAAATGACTACAATAAGAAATTGAACGATAAACTAATTTTATTTTACATCTAAATCCTTCGAATACTCAAATAATTTTTTTTTTTCACTTTATATAACGTTTAATATGAAAAATATTATATTTTAATTTCCATTTGGGTCCATTTGATTTCCATTTGGGTCCATTTGATTTCCATTTGGGTCCATTTGATTTCCATTTGGGTCCATTTGGGTCCATTTGATTTCCATTTGGGTCCATTTGGGTTCCATTTGGGTCCATTTGGGTAAATCGACGCACCCCGTATCTTCTAAAGTTATAGTCTCGTTCAACCAGACCCTCGGCTGTCTCCGTAAATCTCCGACCACCCAGAGGGTCTGGTAAAGATACGTAATATCGTTTGTAACGCCAAAACGAGGCTTACCAAAATTCTGGTAAAGTTTTTGATTGGCTGAAAAGAACACACCTCCATAATTTAAACAAATACATGGTAAATCGACAGAAAAATAACTTAAAGTTTTAAAAGTTAAATGTCTAAAGGTTAAAGCAGAAAAAGAGGAATAATTTTATTGTTTACGGTAATGTCAACGGGTTAAAGGTAAGTGTGCTTTATAAAATGTCTTGTATTTTTTTTTTATTTCCGGAAGTTAAAGTGAAAGTAGTGCAACTACCTGCGGAATACATATTTCTTCGATTGATGTTGTAATTACTCGTTTTATGTCCAAAATTAAAGATCAGTTTATCAATATAAACTCACAATCTAACAGAAGAAACATGTTAAATATTCGTTTCAAAAAAAGGTCATCAGAACATAAACAAGATAGCGCCCTCTGACGGTAACAAACGCTTATGTGACTCTTTACCAGACTCTCTGCTGGTCGGAGTTTACGGAGACAGCCGAGCGTCTGGTTGAACGAGACTACTAAAGTTAGAGAGTTCTACTTCACGGCCCATAACTCCGGATGTTTTTGTCACAAAGCACTGCACTGCAGACCACCGTGTAAGAATTTCATGAAAAATGTAAGTTATGGGCTACTATATAATTCTGTTAATTATAGAATGGTTAAAAATAAGCAACGATGGATATAGTTTACGTTTAATTGTAGAAAAAATGTATTAACTTTATTGAATATTTTGTTTTCAATCGTTGTCGGTATTAGTCATAGAGGATGTGACGTCATTTTCTGTTGTTGACATTTTTTTGCTACATGTGATTTCCAAATGTGTAACAATCATGTAGAGAATTGATATCAGGGTATTGTTATTCACCAGAACACTATTTCTTATCTGATTTGAACATCAATGCCCTGAGCTGTTGAGGGCATATAACATGTTTAAAATACTAACAGTTACAGTTATAGTAAAGCTAAAAATACTCATGATATAGAGTTAAATGTTTAGGCACAACTGTATGTTTGAAGTTTGATTACCTTGTTTACTCAACACACATTAATTGTGTGTTAGATGATGGGTCATTTTTATTTCCCTGTCAGCATGGTCAGCAGAATGGTTATTACATTTCTATGGTAAAATAACTTCTGTTAATTCATCCAAAATATGATGTCTAAATGATTATTTTATAATATTGCATCAGACCAAAAAGGTTGATCATAAAATGGGGTCTGGTTTAGTTATTTAGGCCATTTCTGATTTGCCTTTATTTAGGCCTTTTGTTGAGAAGGTTAGTGGGAGTATTAACGAGCCATTATTTATACTCCTCGACAGTTAGGGGATCCCCCGCTGCACTGGCAGCATGTGCAACGACAAACAACTTCTGAAAATGTTCCAGTGTATATCCAAGTAGTAGTCGATGAATATAAAATTTCTTTCCTTCTACAACTAAAATTGTATATGTGTAAAGACTGCATTAATTCCTTCAAAAACGGATTCAGTGGTCTTTGAAGATGATGTATGCATGGTCAAATTTTACTGCCAAAAGCTATTCACTATGAGTTCCACTCTTAAGAGCCATGCAGCTACAGTGTAATATATAGCTATCTGTCAGATTTAAAATCTTAAATCAAATGTTTCTGTATTAAATTTTTAAATTACAGTTGAACTGCAGTATTTTAATTGAGAAGTTTATAGTGGGAGTATAATAACAAGCTATCAGATACCGAAGTTCAACTGTAATTTGATGTCCAAGTGAAGCTCCAGCTTTTTACTCTTTAAGTATTTCACCCTGGATATATATCTCTAATCCTAAGATTAATATTTCAAAGTTTTTTCTTGGTGCCATTGAGTTCAAGATAATAGGTTTTGACTGTATATAGAGTTTCTCATCTAGTTTGACATTTAGAATCCTATATTACTTCGGTGGTCAGGCAGGTGTGATTGCTCAGGTCAGGTTTAATGTTTTATTTGGATTACTTGAATGTAATGACTAAACTGATTGATTTGACATATCAAAGTCTATTTCATCAAAAGGAGGAGGGGCAAACATTACTGCATTATACTGTAAAATCACTTGTTCTTATGGCGGCAAAGTTTTGTGGTTTGAGCAAGGAATATTGTTTTGTAGGTGGTGGTGGTGGGGGGGGGGGGGTGGTTGAATTGAGTAGTTATGTTTGTAAAATTATTAATTTATGGAGGACAGTGAATTTGTAGAGTAATCTTTAGCTTGAAGACATGGATATTTAATACTGCTGAAAAATGGAGACGTCTCAATAGTATATCAATTTTTAGAAGCACCCAAGTTCTTTATATCTCTTTCATATAAATTAACATAAAAGAAAAACAGATATTTATAGTAAAATCTCATTGGTTGAGGGACATATTTGGTTTTAGTATTGATAATTTATTTCTTTTTAATTATACCGTATAAGCAGAATTTTTAGTATTGGATTTAATTTTGGCATTATTAGCAAGGAACCTGAGATCGTTAAAATTATATATCGCTAAAAATTGTGTTTTCTTTTTAATACTCAGCTTCTTAAGTGAACATTTTAAAAATTACATCTCACTAAAAATAAAATACCAATTTTTAAGGAAAAAATCACTAAATTTGTGTCTCGATAAAATGTCCAGTTACACAGTATTTTACAATACATGTACTTTCAAATGAAATTATGTGTTTTTATTTGGAGTAAAATATTTATTTTAGGAATGACACTTTCTTCGGCCAAATTATTCAAGAGTAACCTGGTTTGGGTCAGTTTATGCTTTATAAATCCTTTCACCTTACTGTAAACCAAATTAATAAGGTTTAAATAATCAGGTGTGTACAGAAATCAATGCATACTGGACGGTGATTCATGCTGTATAATTTGGTTTCATATTTACACAGGTACAACATAGACAGGAGAAATCTAAATCAATACACACAGCAGCATCTCAGGCCCCTGTGTGCAGTCTCTGTGTCTGATCAATTAATTACCCCTAACTAGGTCACAGTTTGTATGGCAACTTAATTGACAGAGTGCTATTTATAGATTCCTAAATTCATTCAATATTTTTAGCTTGAACATGTTGAAGGAGAAAATTAGACAGAGGTACAAGTGATTTCATCAGTTACTATTTATAGAACACCTGAAGCATGATAGCCTGAGGTGGAATTGTCAACCTCTGTCTGTTCAGTTAACAGTGAATGGGACACATCAAGTTTCTACATCAGCTTTTCTAATATACCGTAATATAATTTTGTACAATTTATGTAGGTTACAAATGAAGATGTAGCAAAGAGAAATCAGGAAGCCAGCTGCCTGGAGATGATCAGATTGAAATTGATGATAAACAGAGATACCTAAGTCACATACAGGTAAGTACAGGTAAATTACAATATGTACATTGTATACATGTAGACTGGAACTGGTAGTACTGAATAGACTTTTACACTAAAATTCAGATTCAGAATCGCATTTGATTAATGATTTGGCTCCATTTATGTATCTTATTCTTGAGCATGTTTAGAAATCTGTAATTAAAAATAATTGATAAGATATAGAATTTGATAGGAAGAACCAGCATTTTACAATGTACAATAAACATTCTGTGTCTAACTTTGAAATGTATTTGGTAATAATAAGCTTAATATTTTAAATTCATGTTTGTATATAGTGCCTATGACATAAAATGTGACTTATTGGCTGTTAACAGTTTCTTTATCAAGATAACAGAACTTACTGTCACTTGTTGTTTACAGTTTTTTACCACAATAAAATGACTTACTGTAACTTAAGTTGTTTACAGTGACTTGGCCATAACTTGACCTGTTGTTTACAGTGCCTAGTCATGATAACTAGATGTGTTATTTACAGTGCCTCTGTCATGATAACTAGACTTACTACATATGTAACTTGTAACGTTGTTTACAATGTCTTTATCATGATAACATGACTTACTATAACTTTTTATTTACAGTGCCTCAGCTGCCATGAGTTGATCTGACAGAGAGTTGTGATGGCAGGCTGTGACATACCCGGTGCTTGCTATCATGACTACGCTAACGACACAGCTCTGTCTCTGTCACTCAAACAGTTTCAGCTGTCCAAAAACATCGTATGCCAGAAGTGTGGACAGTTCCATGAGCCGTACGGGACTCATCTTTATGACTACCACCAAGCCGTGGACGAAGATCTCATGTGTCAAGTAAGTAGTCGTGTTAAGTCATCTATATGACTACTACTAGACTTAATAAATGAAGATCTCATGTGTCAAGTAAGTAGTCATGTTTAGCCATCTACATGACTACTACTAGACTTAATAAATGAAGATCTCATGTGTCAAGTAAGTAGTCGTGTTAAGTCATCTATATGACTACTACTAGACTTTATAAATGAAGATCTTATGTGTCAAGTAAGTAGTCATGTTAAGTCATCTATATGACTACTAATAGTCTTAATAAATGAAGATCTTATGTGTCAAGTAAGTAGTCATGTTTAGTCATCTGTATGACTACTACTAGACTTAATAAATGAAGATCTCATGTGTCAAGTAAGTAGTCGTGTTAAGTCATCTATATGACTACTACTAGACTTAATAAATGAAGATCTCATGTGTCAAGTAAGTAGTCATGTTAAGTCATCTATATGACTACTACTAGACTTAATAAATGAAGATCTTGTAAGTACCGTAAATCTGGAAATTTTTTACATCGATTTTATTTTGCGAATTTGGGTCAAAATGCTGCTGATTAATTTTTAAGTTTCAAAATTTTGCGAATGATCACCGCTTTGTTTACATTTTCTTATTGATGATTTATCTTTAAGAAAATATTTTTGCGAATGCAATGAACTCACAAATTTGCTAAAAATTTATCTACAGCAAAAGTTTCCAGATTTACGGTAGTCATGTTTAGTCACTTGTATGACACTTTATATTCCACAAAGCAATTTATAAAAAAAGCATAAACTGTTCCTACCCAGGTTATACCAGTATAACTTGGGTAGCTAACCCTAACCCTAACCCATAAAAATTCATTCCTTATTTCAATTTTCCATCATTAAAGTTGGAAAATAAGAAAACTTTTCTTTAAAAATGTCTTTGAATTGTGCATATTTCAAATGTAATGTCAAGCAGATTTATATGTTGTTGACGCAAGTCATTGTGACATAAGCAAAAAAGTTATACCATATAAATTCATTTTTTATCTAATCAAATGATGCATTACAAATGAAATTAAATTATTAGAATATGAGTGAAGATATCTCATTTGTCAAGTAACCACAATTAGTTACCTATTTTTGACAGTTGACTTCCATTTGGCTGTGGTCTACTGTTTAATTTAGTGTTTTTTAAGGAGTTTTTTTTTCCCGCATACTGTGTAAATGGAAATTTTAGCAAGATGCAAATTTAGCGATTTGTCTTTAAAAATTCATTTGGTATTTTATTTTTAGCGAGATGTAATTCTAGCGATTTTAAAAAGCTCACTAACGAAGCTATTACAAATAAAGCGCAATTAATTTTTAGCAATTTTCAATTTTAGTGATCTTGGCACCCTCGCTAATAATGCCAAAATCAAACCCTTGCTAAAAATTCTGCTTATACAGTATTTCTTGTACATACATATGTATTTAAAAATTAGTGAAATTTTCATAGCTTTAAACATAAAATGATATTACCACATAGGATCTTTCAGATGATATTATCAAACTGACAGAAATAATTCAACTAAAATGGATACTCGCTGCCAATAATTCTAAATTTTCTCTACTTTCCTTAAATTTTAAGGATATATTAGTTTTTATTATATGCATCATTTTTAAAAATTTTTCACAGTAAGTCCCTTATTATTAATTTTACTTACATTCAACAATGTCTTCAAGCCTATGATTGTGTGAAAATTTTAATTAAATTCATTTTTCTAAAGTAATTTTGAGAAGCAGTAAAAAAGAGATGTTTTCATATGCTGCTGTTCTGCCAAAAATGTAGTCACTGCTAGATCTTAAATTCAGTTTATCATTTCTATTTAAAGTTGCACAATTGTGATGAAAGAAAAAATATTATCTTTTAAATTGCCTACACTTTAATACATGTATAGAAGACATAAAAGAAAAAACACTTTGGATATTTCATCTAGTCAGAAAGCAGACAAGAATTCCTACTTAAGTTACCCATGAAACTCTATTGACAAAGATTTGATTGTAAGGGTGTATATATTTGTTTAAGTTGCCAGCTGCACTTAAAGATCACAACCTTAACATTAGTGTGTATTATTTTGGAATCTTCTATGACCTTTTGATGTAATATTGACAGATCTGCCTTCAGCCTTTGGTGAACCCTCTGGACACTAAATGTGGCCATACCTACTGCTCAAGGTGCCTGAAGAACTACCTCAAAATCCAGCGACAGTGTCCCGTGGACAGACAGCCCCTGGCCGTTCACGATGTCCAGTCCTCCAGTATCTTAGTACGCCGGTAAGTCAATAATGTATAGTCATCTAGTATTCTAGCACAACAGTTAAATGTACAGTCCTCCAGTATCCTAGTAAAATGGTTAGTCAGTGATGTATAGTCATCTAGTATTCTAGCACAACAGTTAAATGTACAGTCCTCCAGTATCCTAGTAAAATGGTTAGTCAGTGATGTATAGTCATCTAATATTGTAGTACAATACTGTAAGTATTGTACAACCAATGTTTAAGAAAATTGTTCAAGCAATGTTTAAGAAACTATCTGAGAATTTGATAAAATGATGTAACTTACAATATCAATGATTGAATGAAATGAAAGAGTTCTTTCCCTTTAACTGCAATCAATATGCTAGTCCAAAGAACATATTTGAGGCCAATAGCTATGCAAAGAGGAGCTAACTCTGTTAACACTGTAGGAATCTTTATTCTTAATAATTCTCAAAATCTAAAATGTTTATATGCCTTTTTTCTTTAAAACTATTAAGTATTATATCTGAGGTTAACAAAAACTCATTCTTTATTATGATTGACCAGATAAACTTTTGCTTCTTTTTTACAATATAGCAAATCAACTTTTTATGAATTTCTAGTTTGCAGTAATAAGTGTAACTGTTACCTTTCTGTCCCAATGAGTTATTTTTAAGTGTACCACTTATGACTTAGTATATATAAAAACTTCTTTTATGTATCGGTCTGTATTGAAGTATTTACAAAATCTAATTAAGTCCTCATCACTGCCTTGTCACTTGTTGTTTGTCGTCTTAGTTACAGTGTCCCCTGGTCTCAGAAAAAAAACGTTGGATATGTCTGTCTATAAAATAGATTTATTAATATGATGTGTTCTTAAAGTATTGAAATATACTAACAGTAACTGATTTTTTTTTTAAATGAATGACTTGTTTATTTTTTTTTATGTGTAATTTTAAAGGACCTTACACCATAAGTCTTAATAGTTTAGTTTTAACAATGTTAGTTTGAGACATTTTTCTTTAAACATGTTAAAGAATAGGTCCCCATTTCTAATTATTCCCATTATTTCGGACTATTCAGTATCTCCTGGAACTATTTATCGACAGAGAATGTGTGGTTATTTACGTATGGTGACGGAAACTAAAAAAGAACAAAAAGATTAATTAAATTATCTGGAGATTACATGCAGCTTATCAGCACGGTTGATTGGAGGACAGTAACATTTCAGGTGTCCTATTGATTGATGTAATACCCGACACTTACAGAACATTCCTAGCATCCATTGATAATGAAATCAATTTCCAGCCACTACACATCATCAGCATTCTCACTGTTCATTAACTAATCCCTTGGATGTCAACTGAATGCCTCTACAAAGGCTTTAGGAATGCGGGATGCAGTTTGTATGAATTAGGAATTACCTTTTGACACACAATAATCTGTTTATCAGAGCTAATTTTTTTTACCATGCTTTAGTATAAAGAGAGAGCTAGAACCATAGCTTGTAACAGAGAATGTTCATGTATTTTATAATAACTTTTTACATGCAATCAACTCGTAAGAGTTTCTGCTTGATTATGGTATTTTGACATGTACAGTATTGTCTTGGTTGTTAAGAAGGTGTGAATTATGAAAAATGGTATTTTTTATGTTTTTTTTATTAATAATGAGAATTTTACCTTCCATATTTCAACACATGACGTATAAGTATCTCTCACTCCTGTTAGAGGTAGGAGCTGCTGGGATACTAGCTAGGGTCTCAGAATTATAAAGCAATGAAGAAACTGTTAGGCAGCATTTTTCTGGCAGTAAAAATAAAGCCATATTGATTTTGTCTTAAGTTAAAAAGAGAGATTACTTGGATGAGCTATTGATTTGGTATTCAATGCATTCTCAGACATTTAAGAAAGCCAAAAAATGCACACACAGATGATGGTCCATTAGACTTGAATTCCCTTGGTTATAGAGGCTAACCAAGGGTATCATTGACAACCCAGTAAACAGTGGTATCATCCCCTGGTTATAGAGGCTAAGGGTATCAGTGACTGCCCAGTAAACAATGGGATCATCCCCTGGTTATAGATACTAATTAAGGGTATCAGTGACTGCCCAGTAAACAGTGGTATCATCCCCTGGTTATAGAGGCTCACTAAGGGTATCAGTGACTGCCCAGTAAACAGTGGTATCATCCCCTTGTTATAGAGGCTCACTAAGGGTATCAGTGACTGCTCAGTAAACAATGGTATCATCCCCTTGTTATAGAGGCTCAATAAGGGTATCAGTGACTGCCCAATAAACAATGGTATCATCCCCTGGTTATAGAGGCTCACTAAGGGTATCAGTGAATGCCTTGAGTAAATATACTTCCAGTAAATAATTGTATCATTCCCTTGTTGTAGAACATAAACGTACCAAAGCCCATACCCCCTCCCCCCAAGCTAATTTAAAGTCTGCTTAGTATTCAATTGAATCATTCCTGGTTATAGAGGCTTATATATAAAGTATACAGTAAATAATTGTATCATTGAAGGTAGGAAGGCAGGAAGATGCTGGGTTTAACTTAGTAAGGCACGCTTTCTCAAAAAAAATATAATCCGGCCCTCTAAGGACCAGAGGTAGATAATTACTGAGAGCTTTGTTAATGTAATTATAGAGCCTCCGGACATTTAATAGTAGAGGATGCTAGTCCAAGCCCTAAAGCTGGCGTCAAAAAGCCGACCCCCAGATCGACTCTGATGAGCTTGTATCAATAATTAAATGATGGCTGTCCTTATGTTTTAATTAAATTGAGCAGCTTTTCCAGATCCTCTGATTAAAATGGTGATGCAGTACTGTACACCTAGTCTGTTTTATGAGACTGTATATATGTTTCCTGATACAATTTGTTCTTTCTGAAACTTCGTTGGTTAGTTTAAGTGTTTGGATGAAGTTTGATAAATGTGATCTTTACGTTAAAGGTCAAAAATTTTGAATTCTAATTGCATTTATTTAGACAATTTAAAGCTGTAAGGCACATACATTTTGATTGGTGATTTTATCACCGCAATCCATCAGCCCTGCAGGCTTGTATTGCATAACTTGATTTAATATAGACATGATAGAGAGAAAGTCCTGTTATTCCCATATGTTGGCCTTTATATTGAGTATATTACATGTTTATAGAAAAGAAAATGTAATACAGGTAGTATTTATGAAATATCTTACAATTATACATGTTTTGGGGTAAATAGGAAATTTATTACTTTTTGCAATCTATTTCTTTTGGAAGTGAAATAGACATATGTAGTTATATAGGGTAAATAACACGTAGATATAATTTTATACTGCTACACGTTATACATACGTACACTGCTGGAATTGTTTGTGTGAAATCCTGGTCAAACCTCACTGTATTTGACAGATGAAGGCTTACTTCAGAGGATACGAGTTAATTAAGAATTCAGGAATGATAATTAGCATTAATCTTTCTCTGAGTTGGAACCAGATACAAAGTGTGTATGGGGAGCAAGCCTTTTCTGTAAGTTGAAATTACAACAATATCGTACTAGTTAGTATATTAAGTGTAGTTGTAATTAAAACTTTGATTAGGTGTGGGTAATTCCAAAACCTGCTATTAGTAGTTACAATGTGTGGTTTTTGTGGTAAAATTAAACAATTTATTAATAAATAAAAAAGTCCATGTAACAATATGTGTTTATTTTATATGTTTAAAAACAAAATTTAATGCTATTATTACTGAATGGTACGAGTATAACAATTATATTTAATTAAAGTATATACTTATTATTCACAAGTTTTAATTTTAGTAAAGGTTATCATACCAATTCAAATGTACCCCCACCCCCGAGGTGAAATGAAAATTAAGAATATTTTGGGTGTTTCGATTCTGTTGATGTTTTGAGCTGGTTTTCAAGCAAAGACATTCATTTTGTTTTTTTAGTAAAAAAAGGCAGTGGGAGGGTTAAAATGTACTAGGAAACCGTTATTAAACATATGAATGAGTGAAGTATTCAAGTACTTTTATGATAAAAATAAGTGACAGTACACAGTCCCCCCCCCCCCCCCCCCCCCTCTGAAAAAAAGATTTTTGTGTTTGGACAATGGACAAATTTTCCTTTTTTTTTTGTAGGTTGAATTTTTTTTCTCTTTCAATTAGCCCCCCCCCCTCCCCAACACACACACACTTTTAATTTGATTCTGACGCCAATGTCTATTGATTTGTATTGCAATAAGTAACAGTACATTTCTTTAGAAGTTGATTACAATAAGCATGATAGGTATCAAAACATAGATCTCTATTGATGTTTATTTTAAATAGTGACAGTACATATCTATTGATGATTATTTTGAATAGTGACAGTACATTTCTATTGATGTTTATTTTAAATAGTGACAGATAAATGACAAAAAATCTCTTGATAATTATTGTAATAGATAACAGTAAATCTCTATTTTATTTAATGTTTTTTGTTATAAGTGATAGTACATCTCTATTGAATTTTTTTGTAATAAATAACAGTACATCTCTATTGAAGTCTTTTGTAATAAATAACAGTACATCTCTATTGAAGTCTTTTGTAATAAAAACAGTACATCTCTATTGATGTTTTTTGTAATAAATAACAGTACATCTCTATTGAAGTCTTTTGTAATAAATATACATATCTATTGAAGTCTTTTGTAATAAAAAAAGTACATCTCTATTGATGTTTTGGTAATAAATAACAGTACATCTCTATTGATGTTTTTTGTAATAAATAACAGTACATCTCTATTGAAGTCTTTTGTAATAAGTGACAGTACATCTCTATTGAAGTCTTTTGTAATAAGTGACAGTACATCTCTATTGAAGTCTTTTGTAATAAGTGACAGTACATCTCTATTGAAGTCTTTTGTAATAAATAACAGTACATCTCTATTGATGTTTTTTTGTAATAAATAACAGTACATTTGTAGTGATGTTTTTTGTAATAAGTGACAGTACAATGTACATCTCTATTGATGTTTATTTGACGTTTAAGTGGCTTTCAAGCT